CAGTGGATATCATACTGGTAAATTAAACTATTTTTTATTTGGTACACAAGTTGTGATCTAAAATACAAAAATATATCGAAATTAAAATGTTGTAAAATAATTGACAATTAAAAAGATAATTATTGGAAAAATTTGTTTAGAAATAACGGTCTAGAAAATATTTTTTTTTTAAATCTAATTTTTATATGAATTCTATTTTTATATGAATTTTTGTACACTCAAAAAAATGTCTTGCTGATATAGGTAGATTTCTAGGTGTCACAACAAAAATTTATCGCTATTTTTTGTATCTGTTAGAATATTGTCTGTTACATATAGAATTTATAGCAGCAATATTCTAATAATATCTTCTAGAAAATTTAGGTCCCATTGCCAAATGTTAATCACTGCATTGGATAAATATGAGTTTCGATACTACAGCTAGAACGATCTTTGTGAGAAATATAACTGCCAATTATAACTGCAGCATCGAAAAATTGAGAGAAATTGTTTAAAAGAGCTAGATAGATTGGGCGCATTATACAAATATGTTATATGTGAGGATTATATATTCATTTGTTTCTTGTCGCTAATTTTTTCTGTGTACCACAGTCAAACTTTATAACAAGTATGATTGGCCTTACATGGATAGGCGCCACAGAAAAACATTCTTTCTAAATTTCACAAACAGTTTAGATATAAATTCTGTCTCTGTCACTTAGATTGATTAAATGCGAAACATATGCGATATCACAGTATTTGCTAATCATTTATGTACCTCAGTTAATTTTGCGCGCCCAGAAAATTTTTGCTGTAGTTGCAAAACCACTTTTTTGAGTGTAACATTGTGATATAATGCTACTGTTTAACTTTGTAAAGAATGGCGGTTTTTCTTACACACGGTTTCTAAATTATGATCTTAATTAAAATACTTTCAAGAAATCATAAAAAATAAAAATTTGAATTTTCAATATTTTGTGAAAAATATTTCTCTCTCTCTCAAATACTACTTATCGACAATAATAGTTCGACTTTTATTTTACTTTTATTTTTCAACAAGAACTAAAGAAGCAGGCAGAATATATTATTTAAACGTCACTTAACTAATGTTTCTAGGAAAGGCTCTTAAAACAATTCAGGCAGCAGAATTACGTTTTAACACGTCGCGGTGACATGTATCTCTCGACGACGATGTCATATTATGTTAATACCAATGGCCTCCGCGGTTTCAACGCTCTATTGTTAAAAATTCAATATATTTTGTCGACGTCATGTCGCACTGTGTCGTTGCAAGCCAGTTTCTCGCCGCCGCGAATTTGCTCTCGTTGATTGATTACTGGCTGTCAGTTGGCCAACATTTTCTGCTTCTCACCAGTTAGTAGTCATATGCGTTGTTTTATACTTATCTGCCTGTGTCTTGTTAGATGCATATCGTCCTATATATATAACAGGAATCTTCAGCTCTAGAAAAGCATTTATTTCTTATATATAATTATTATTTTATATTGTACTAATATCGTATGCACGATAAGGAAGTATAGTTGTAACGATGACGAAATCGCGAACGATTGAGTTTTCCATGGCCAATTCCGCTTGACTGACGCGTATAACCCTGCAGTAAACGTAATAGTTCAATAGAACATAAGGAAGGAGCGATCGATCGTGCGTTTCCACGAGCGTGACGTGGTCGCACTGCATCGAATTACGTTGTTGGCTTTTATAGCCGAGCGTGTAAAATCACCAGCGCGCGCATAAAACGACGTGCATAATAATCTGATCTGTCGCCAGGAAAATTATCGGACTGACAATTCCGCGCGTCCATCTGTCTACTTGCGGCGAGGTGATTTACACGAGTCGAGAGGTGCTAATCTCATTAGCATAGCTCTTTGCACGAAGTCCGATATATATTAGTCTTTGACACGTGATCGTTTTGGTATTTTTACTGACACGCCTATGTCAGATGGATGAGATTATGACGGAAAAGCTCATTTTGCTAGCAAGATTGCAATTCATTGAGTCGCAGAAAATGATTTTCCATTAAAATTTATTTGTTTAAAGTTTAAAGTAACGGATGATTAGGAGACGTAAAATCTTTCATTTCATGAGTCTCGTTAAATTTGTATCTGTTTGTTTTTCTACTTGCATGGATTTTTCTATTGTTCATGATTTTAATCTCTCTTAATCCAACGTTATATTTATAGCACAAGTGTTTATATATTGTTTACTCATATGAATTTCAGTAACGCCAACACAAAGTGGAAATATAACGATGTTCCAGAAATATATATTACCCCAGAGTATGCACATTATAAGAGATATATTAATATTCAGTATAAGTATATTATTTAGATTTGTCTATTAATTATAAGCAAACTCTATTGTGTTTAAATCAATTTTATATTCAGTTCTAACATCAAAATTAAATCTGATATTAATATTGATTTTTATCTTAACATTTTTATCTTTCATTGCATATAAAATTCATATCCGTTATGTGATGTTGTATATAGATTTTTTCTTTTCGTGCAAACAAGATTTTCCTTTCGTAAGAGCTCCTATTATTACCAGTGTCGACAGTCTCTGATCCGGATTAGGCACAAATCTTAAGAACCGGTTCTCTAACTCTCTTTTCACTATTTCATATATCCGGCTTTCCTCTCCGTATATACTTTTAGATCATTCAACGTACCAGGTTACAAAAGCGTGCGAGTCATCCTCTTCCGTCTTATTGCTAATTTCGTTTTAATGTCTCTCTTGCATCGCAATAAAAATGTTCCAACTTAAAATAAGAAATATCAAACTCTTTTAAAAATTAAGCGCCGATACAATGAGTTTCATCTCATTTTGATTTCATCAACAATTTAATTTGAAGAATATAAGAAACATAGTTTTTTTTTATTTTTTTATTTTTTTTTTATTTTATTTTTTTATTTTATTTTATTTTTTTTTTTTAAGAGCTGGTTTTAGATACTATGATACGGCACTAATCTGATTTCAATCTCCCACGACGCAATAAATAGCTCAACTTTAAACAGGAAATCCCGTATTCTTTTGTGAAAGAACCGCGTGAATTTGTTTTTTAGTATGATAGTACAACGCGTTTATATAAAAGTGTTGTTCGTTACTCATTTCCATAACGTCGTATAAATTAAACGGTATATTAACCACGCGATTTATGAAATTGCGATGAGACATTAATGAATCATTGCTGTCGCTCAAAAATGACATACCGTTCATCGCCGGTATAAATATACATATAAGCGACACGGCTATTTTAGGTTCCCATCGCGTCACAATAGATATCTGCGGTAATTCATATAACTGTCCGAGAAGATCGTACAAAAGGGCACACAATTACGTGCCCATTTAAAGGCAAGCCACGCATGTGCGTGTAATTACGTGCTCGATTGCTGATAAATTTTGAATGGCAAGCTATCCGGTATAATTGACCAATCAGTATTGTACCGTCAATAACTTACATGTCATTCACCTTTATATGTCGCAGAAAATCAAATGTTTCTCGTTATATATGGTGTGTACTTAAATATAAAGTCCTATCCAACTGGAAAATCTTATTTAACGGTTATTTTCAATTTTAATGACAAAATTTTTTTTTTTTTTTTTTTTTTTTTTTTTTTTAATTGATACATTGAAATATTACAAGGGGATTGTAAACAATCAAAAAATGATGAACTTCTTTTTGCAAATTAAACTTTTAAGAAGTGTATAATTAAATTTTACTTAATTTAAAATTAATAAATAACAAAGAAAATGTATAAAATAATAAATAAAATTTATAAAACAAACACGACTAAATAGCGAGATAAATTTAATTAGTCAAATTTACATTTACAAATTTACAATTATTATTCCAGAATTTTAATTAGAAAAGACAACAAGAGATATTTAATGTCGAGTATCGAGAAGTCATGCTTTTAAAGGCGATAAGTTCGTCATCATCGCCACCTGTGTGGAACTTGTTTTTTCGCTGCATGCATATATGTATCTCGGCCTTTTTTTTTATACCATTAATCATATGTTTATCGGAAATATACGATAATTGGATGTTTATCAACCATCGTATTAGTTACCCAACTGCTACAGATTATTACGATTAGTTAGGAGAACGATGTGAAAAAATATAAAAAAGACTATCTAAGAGATTATCCCCTACAATGACATTGTTTTGCATGATAAACATAATCGCGAGCTATGAGTCAAATCGTTACCTGCTAAAGCTAAGATGATGTGGACGAAACTGAAACGCGATGTGAAATACTGATACGAATAGCTGAGTTATGATTTCGAATCTAGCAAGTCATTTATCGGGATCTTCAATGAAGAGCTTATTGTATTCAAAATATCATTATACGTATATACAATAACGCTTAATTTTAATGTATTAAAAATGTTAAATATATTAAAATTAGTCGTTTTTTCACACATATAGCGGTATAATAAAAATTTATAACAAATATCTTTCAAAAAGGTTTACATTCCATTTAATTATTAAATAAAATCATTTTTTAACTTGGTCTTTATTTTTACGATTTAATGATAGATTTCTGTTAAAGTAAGCATGTTGTTTTAAATTGCACATTGTTTGCATTATTTCCAGGTCTTGCATGACTGCGCAAAGGCACGGAGGGAAGTCGAGCTTCACTGGAGGGCATCTAACTGTAGGCATATAGTTCAAGTGAAAGATGTATATGAAAATTCCTACAGTGGAAATAAATGTCTGCTGGTAGTTATGGAATGGTACGTAAATAATACTCCTCTCTTTTAATGTCTGACTGCGATTGTTTATCACTATAATTATTCAATTTATGTTTAATTCTTTTTTTTAGTATGGAAGGCGGAGAGTTATTCCAAAGGATACAAGATAGACAAGACGGTGCCTTTACTGAAAGAGGTATAGCTTTGCGTTTCTCTCGAATTTGCCAAATTTGCTATTTTTAAAAACTATGTAAATTGTGTTTTTTACAGAAGCTGCGCAAGTGATGTACGAGATTTGTGTCGCGGTAAAACACTTACACGACATGAACATCACTCATAGGGATCTAAAACCTGAGAATCTTTTATATTCTAACCCAGGTAAATTATATATCTTTTAAAATATTACTTAGATTATATTTGTTTTTCCAAAGTGTAATAACTTTGAAGACATTAGTAGCTCATATTTTATAAGCTTAAGAGAGTTAACCACACGTTATCTATAGACCTTGAAAAGTTATGACTGCAATGATTGCTTTTACGATAATTTTATCTATATATACTTTCCAAAAGACTAACAGACACATGTCGCACATAAATGAATTATGTATTGTTATTGTTATGTTATATATTGATTTCTAGATAACACTGGAATTCTGAAACTCACCGACTTTGGATTTGCCAAAGAAACACATTTAAAGGACACGTTACAAACACCATGTTATACACCTTACTATGTCGGTAAGTTTATACGTTTTATTATGCCAATACACATTCATGTATTTAAAACTAAAGTCAATAATTCGTTTTTATTATTTTATTTTTAGCTCCGGAAGTTTTAGGACCAGAAAAATATGACAAAAGCTGTGATATTTGGTCACTGGGGGTAATCATGTACATATTGTGAGTACATACATTTTTATATACGTTTTTATGTGTTTTATATTTGATATACATTTAATTATTTTGATTATTTTGATTTATTACTTTTTTTTTAAATTATACAGCATTCTCAATGCTTAATGGTTCTTATTGCCTCGGTCATGCGTTATAATTGAAAACATACATTACGATGATGCATTTGTAACATTATCACTATTTTTAGACTGTGCGGCTTCCCGCCATTCTATAGTAATCACGGATTGGCGATTTCTCCCGGGATGAAAAAAAGGATCCGATTAGGACAGTACGATTTTCCATGTCCAGAATGGGCGAATGTAAGCCAGGAAGCGAAGAATCTTATTAAGGGCATGCTGTGTATCGATCCTGCGGAAAGATTGCAGATCGACGATGTGATGCGTAACAACTGGATCGCCGTAAGAACACATACACATTTTACAATATATACACAACTTTATATATAAATTCTCTTTATATTTTTTTAAAAATATATATTCTTTCTCTGTTCAGAAATACACGGAAGTGCCTGCTACTCCCTTACACACCGGACGCGTTTTACGCGAGGGGGAGGAAATGTGGCCCGAAGTGCAGGAGGAGATGACGCGATCGTTGGCGACAATGCGCGTCGATTACGATACGGCATGTTTGAAGCAACTTGATCATACGAACAATCCTCTGCTGAATAAACGACGACGCGCGAAACAGTCCGCGAACAGTGCGACGGTTCCGCCGGCTGCCAGTCCTACAGCCGCATCCTAGGAACAGGACAGTGCCAGAACCAGACGGAACTGGACTTTTTTTCTACGAAGATGCATCAGATACAGCATGGTCGTAATGAGGATCGTTCTCTGACTGTTGCATTTTAAGAAGCGAAAATAATTCCGGAATAGAATAGTAATATCGAAAGGCACTTAAATCATGTATTGCACGCACGCACTCCATTACGCTTATTAGCGTTTGATCTATCGAGAGCGAGAAACGGTATCTTATTAGACCAAAAACAATAAGACGCGCAACAAAGACAATATTGCCCCAACGAATGTAAGTAAATGCGATGCCTTTTTAATTACTGAACGATATCACAGTCATTCTTGACTGGAAAAGATCCATTTAAAAATATTCTGTGAGAGAAATATGCTATATTAATCAACTATAGGTTTGAGCAACTATATACATATATATGTGGACAAAAGGTAAACATTAGTTATCGAGTATTAATATCATCATGTTTGTCATTAGTTCCATTTTCGTCAGAAATTAATAATTACCATTATTTGAATATATAATGACCTTTAGAGGCATTAAAAGAAAATTGGCCGAATCACTGGATAGTATTGTTGAATGTGTCTTCTCATTCAAATTCCAAAACTTGATAGATCATAATCAAAAAAGTATCTAATAATGAAACTTAAAAAATATTCTTTTTTTCTTCAATAAAACCTGTCTTATTCCTCCATTACATATCCATTTAAAAGAAGGAAATAAAGAATTAAAGAATTATAGCTTGTTACTTTGAAAGAATCAAGAAATATATTTTTCCAAGAGTTTGTTATATATACCTTCAACAACTGAGCTACTTACTCAAAAGTCAATAAATAGTAATTGGGGAGGGGGCTCTTTCCATCTTATTTTATATGTTCTGTAAACATACATATATATTCTAAAATAGGTGCCGACTATTTAAAAAAGAGTTTGTTTTAATCGGAAATATATAAAATCTCTATGCAAAAATATAAATATAAAAATAATATGAAAATTATTTTATTTGTATACTATTAAGACTAGCTATAGAGAGAGATAGTTGTATTCACATACTTATCAATCATTCTAAAAAATTTACTTGCTGCTAATGTATAATGAAATGCGCAATGTCTGTATTCTTCATTGAATTTTTAAAACATAATTAGGATATTTTTTACGTAATATTGTACTATCTTCTGCCCGTCCATAGCCTATTTTATATAAATATGTGCATAAATTTTCATAATTATTACTCACATTAATTCACAAGAACTATTATACTGATACAATTAATTCAGGCCATAGTGAAATTTAATTATTTGTATTCCAATATTTATCATATCTTTAACATGTATGATATATATATGTTTAATTATGTTAGCATATATTTGGACTCTACTTAGAATTTTAATCACAACAATTATGCTTGAGAGAGAGGCTGAGTATATTTTAATGATTTAAATCTGCTTTTTATTTAAATCACGAATATTATATTTTAGAACAATCGAATGCTACAAACAAAGTAGATTTAGCATAGTATTTTAGTACTTCATCATTAAAAATAGTAAATGTGGAAGTTGTATATATTTTTACTTAATATTATTCGAAGCTATTGCGTCTCTACGATTGTGTAGAAGAATTAGAGATTCAGAAGATTTAAAAAATGGAATCTATAAATTTAGTCAACGAATTTTCAATATCTTAAACATATAGCGTGATATTCTATCAATTATAATACAATTAATGACTGGTAAATTAAACGAGAAAATGGAAGAGTTTCACGTGCCTATAATTTTAATTAAAATCAAATTGTCGTATTGTTATGGATACATTCTAGAATATTTGCGCATGCGATAATTGTCAATAAAATATATAATATTGCGCAAAGAGAGTAGTAACTTATAATATTTTTAAAGGGAGTCATTTTTTGGGTATATACCTAACATGATATAGATGTATGTGTATGTGAGAGAGATATATTTATAGAAAACTTATAGGAAGAATTATTGGAAAATTCCAAATTAAAATATATTATATGGATAATATAAGTTTTTAATTGTATAGAGTATACACAGTTCCTCGTGTTCTATATTGATTAAATAAATTATATTCGTAATAATGAAATAGCGTGCACACAATCCACATACATGCTAGTTCAATTTGGACAGTTAATAAGTTCCGTAGCAAGATATTTTTATAATAAGTCGGATTCGACTTGCATTTACAAAAAAAAAAGGACAATAATTAAACATTCTTTCAGACCATCATTACTTAGTTACTTGTCCAATTGCAATTTTCTATATCATAATGATAAAATCATGTATTTTTAACGTGTGACGACGCTGCAGATTTCCATAGGCTATAACGTTTATATGTATAATCACAAATAATGTTATAATTAAAATTACAAAAAATGTTTTATATCTATATTTTAATATTATTTTTTTAATTATTATTGCGAAATTTATTCGTTCAACATGATTATTATTATACTTTTTATTTTCGAATTACTAAAGAACAAAGACAATGTTTTATGAGAATTATTTGTGTATTCTATTCGTTTTGATTACATCTGATGCAATATTTAATAATTATAAAATGTAACATGATTTATGAATTGCTGAATTAGATATTTACTTCGTAAATATATTTGGTACGTTCAAATGAAACATGGATTGAGACTTTTATAAAACAACGACCTGTAACCCACGTTTTAGTTGAACGTATCATATTAATTACCATTTTAAGAGTTCAATTATCAAATGCAATGTTAATTATTACAATAATTATTACTTATTTAATATTCATTATTAAATGTGTCTTATATAATAAACATATACTTTGAAATAAATCATTCAAATAAATCTAAATAATGCGTTAATGTGTTCTATAATACTTAGTCCAATTAGGAATGGACAAAAACTGTGCGAAATTATTTACTACCAACTTCATTTTGTATGTTCAAGAAACTGTTGTATTGCGCAGATTTCTAGATTTACAATTATGTATTACATAAATATGTGACTGTTGATAGAAAGCACATCTATGTTTCATTATAAACTGCTTAAAAAAATCAGTACAAAAAGGAACACAATCAAGTTTTAGCATATATATATAGGTATTTTACACAACGCTCGAGATATTTTTTGCGCGTTATAATAATTTCGATACATCTATATTGCTATTATAATCGAAATATAAATGATGAAAGTTGAAGTAATATCTAGTATATATGTATGAGCAACAAGAGCTTACCAAACAATAATAAAGAGTAGATGTGCAAATATAAAACATCTGTCATTTAATTAATTGACCGCATGCAGAATGGATGCGCCAATTAAGCGTCACGGATATTTTTAACAATTACATAAATAGTACATTATAAATTATTAAAAATATATAGATTTTTTTCTTTTGTTTGTGCATACAAAAGCCACACACATTTAATTTTTTCTTTTTTTATTATAAATTTTTTACTGTTAATTTTCCATGTCATACAAGGAAATACCTCAAGTGTCATTAATAAGTTTACAGGCTTCTCATTAATTAGATCTATCAATTGAAAAAAATGAAAACAATTCTCTCTGTAATCATGAGAATTTATCATAATTTAATTTCTCGCATATCTTCCACTCTTTCTTTCTCTCTCTATCTCACCTTAATCTATTAATATAAACTATAGATACACAGTGAGCAAAGGAGATTTTTCATTCAATTGTATCAAATTGTATATATATCAATGTAACTATGCATGGTACAATGTATTATATCCATAAAGAAGTATATATCCTTTTATATATCCTTTATTTGATGATGTGTTATATATTTGAAATAATAATTCTATCGTAGATGCTTGTGATACTAATAAAACGAATTATTTTTTCACAGCTTCACAGACAAAATCTCTATTTTTTTTATGTTATATATAATTATTTAGACTTCAAAATACAACTCTTTTTAGTTATATAATATTGGAAATAGTATGCATTATGTATATGTGCTGTAGCTAATTCGCGGATATTGTACAATTAATGCAAAAAGTATTATAATCCACCATACTCTAAAAGTTTATCTAAAAGTTTATATATCAAATGCCAAACTATATATATACTCTTTAATTACAACTCACTGGGCCCCGGAAGTAAAATATTTCTCTGTATATAAGGTTTACAAATCGCACAAATGTAAAGTGAAACGTTCATTCAAAAAGACACAATATGATCTCTAAGAATTTGCTAAGAGCTATTGGAATGTAGAGGAATCACGAACTTAGGTCCAAACGGCGATTTATACGTGATGCCGACGTCGGAATATACCTTGTTTGGCAATGCGAGATTGCATAAGTACAATCTACCATTGTCGACGCTGTGCGACAATGGTAGCGCACCCAATAGACTGAATTTGCTAAGAATACCGGGTGTACCTGTCGCCGGTGGTTCGATAGCAAGTACAGGTGCGCGATTACTGTTCGCCCACCTGGCTATCGGTGTGATTACCCTCGGTGAATCTTCGTCGCAGAGTGCCACGAGTATCAGATCTACCAGCGACGGCAGATTCTTGACTTTAGTCTCTACTTTGTTCTCTGTTAGCCTGTACAGCGATAGCTCCTGCAAAAGAAACACGTCCTCCACGCTTTCCACGAACACGATCGTCTTGACACCGTGACTAGACAATTGTCGAGCGCAGTTAATGCCTGCGGCGCCAGAACGATGCGGTCCGCACAGCGCGACCACAGTTGGCCACTGATGCGCGTTGTTCGGATTTAGTCGATGACTTCCGCCCAATAATTGAAGGATAAGCTCAGCACCGGCACGACCGAGAAGTTCCACCTGTCGAAGAAAACATTGATTGAAATATTTAATAAAGATATAGTAAAAAAGTTATATATATGTGTGAATATAGTTAGGCAAATATAATATCAGTCATACTTTGAAAATCTCCATTTTAAATTGTAATAACTTTCTTATCAAAGTAAACCATTCTGTCAATCTATATTTACTTAGATATATAGTATTGCAAAAGTAAATTTGCTTAATTTTTACAGAGTTTTTCTAGTTATCATTCTACACTCTCGATTATATGAAAAAAAAATAATTAAAAGTATCGATACAAACCCTACGTTCCCAACTTATTCCCAGTCTATCTGCCGCACCTATCAACTGCCGGTGAAGATTAAGAGTGATGCTCGGAATTACTAAACCGTTATCTGTAACATATTCCTTTTCACTAGGGCAAGGCACCACAATCTGTCTGAGCACTGTAGGTTCGGATACGAGAATGTTTTCATCATGTCGATAGATAGCTGTAGTACCCCGGTTGCTTTCTGACTGTCTAACAATATCTGGTTTTAAGGAGTTTATTTCTTGCCATACAGCCTGCATGAAATCGTAATTACAGTAAGGTAACCACAAGCAATATTACATATCTCAAATTCTCTGATATATTATAAAGTAAATTAAATAATCCTTATATATAAATAGTAAAATAGAATCCAACCTCTTTATTGAACAATGCTAAGTTCTTTTCAAAATCAAAGTCTTGCTGTAAAGACTGATCAATTGGGGTACCAAAAGTATGCTCGTCTCTTTCCAGCGCTCTTTGCTTATGAGTTAATCTTTTGGAAATGGATTTATTGTTAGACGCATTATTTTCGACTACAAAATTTAAAAAATGTTATGTTGACATAATCGCACATAGATGTGCATACATAAATACATAAATTATATATACATCAATGTACCTGAAGCAATCTTCCCATTTGGAGTTTGCTCTACTTGCTGCTGGTTAGACTCGACAGGTTTTTTTAAATTCACTTGTGGTTGACAACTTGCCGCTTGCAGTACAGCACATTCTGAAATAGATCGCCCAGCCCTTTTCGCAATTGGCCTCTTCACAATCACCTTACTCTGTAGTTGCATATCATTTACATTAGTTCCTGCTTCTTCCGTCGATATAATCTCAAGCTTTTGTATATCTTTTACACTGTAAGAATAAGAATAACTATATTTAATATATATGCTTGTGTTAACTAATACATTATTGCAATCTATAAAGATTCAAATTCAATTATACATACATACATCTATACAGATGGTTTATTATTATTCTCTCTATCATTATATATTGTATAATATATCAAAAATATATTAACACACAATGCAAACTTACCTTAGGTTAACAATGGATGAAGTATGCGGTATGCCATTGCAAAATGTTTTTGCCAATGTCAGGCTATTCTTATTTAGATCAATAATTTTGCCTTGATAAGTAATATCGTCAATACATTTCACAGAAACAGTACAACCCAGGAACTGCTCAGACATTTTTATCTGCAGTTGTATATGAAAAATATAGAGGTTAATCTATACAGTTTTCATATTTGTCACATATTTATTATCACAATTATATTATTGCTATTCAAATAAAAAAATTTAATAACTTGTGAATAATAATATATGAATTTTAGTTTAGAATGTAGCGTAAGAGAGAAATGCTACAATTCATATTAGAAAAATAATTTATTTTCTAATGATTTATAAATTGATTAATACAAATATAGTGTAAATATAACAACAAAAATCAAAATTATAGTAGCAATATATAGTGTTTCTTTTTCTTATACATATTATATGCTTGAAATTTATTGTTTATATTATTTAATACATTACATCTGGATCTGCATTCTATCCTTTATTCTATGTATATATCAAAGTATATATTTCAGAGAGAGAGAGAGAGAGAAAGAGCATAAATTTTCTTTCAATCACAAAACTTTTGGAGTTATACAAGTTACAAGTGTAACATGTAATGTAAATAAATTAATAAATATAAAAACATACATATATAAACACAAAAATTACCGGTTTTTAATATCAGAAGAAAAATTTCTCTCAGGTATGTTACAGGTTAAAATCGTGTAACAACTGTTGAGAGAAATAACTATAGCGACTATTTACATACCCAAATGAAAAAAGATAGAAGTAAAGATGATTAGACGATGAAACAATAAATCACAGCAACGAGTTTAACAACTTAATATTGCGTACTTATTTCTATAAGTCGGTATGTTATGTACGAATCACCATATATGATGTATATATCTTATACGTATAATGCGCGTGGTTGTGATACGTGTGTATCCCATTCAACGCTTTGTTTTCATGACAAAAGCATTGGATATTTTTCAATATAAATATATATAATTTTGTAAGCAAGTTAGTCAGTAATTTTAAGTATAATAATTAAAATCTTTCTCCGAGACTAAAATCAAATATACATATATAAAATATACCAACAATAGCAGGAAACCATCTGATGATAATTTTAATTTATCTATTTCTATTTTACCAACTAATGATAGATTAAATTTCATTAGTAAATTCACGGACAAAGAGCTGTTAAAAATGTCAGCGACGAATATTCGCGCGCAGTTTGAAAAATCCGCTGTACGTTAAATGCTCTCTAAGGTATTATAACAATCATAAGAAGTAATAAGCATAGTTGATAAAAAAAGAAATGCGGTTATTCGAAAAAAAATTATTACTGAGTTAATAATTAAATAAAATTTCTTCGAAATCGAAAGAAAACGATTAAAAATATAAGAAAATATAATAAAATTATAATAGAATAGATCACCGCTTTTTTATTTTCTATGATAATACATGATTATTGAGTAATTAACTCTTATAAATAATATGTAATTTACATATATCGCGACGATCGTTCTCGAAGTGCATATTTTGCGTAATTTATTCAATTAATCAAAGTAAAAATCGTAGTGACAGAAATTTAAAATAATATCTTATCGTTACAAAATCTTTACGCAGACACAATAATTATTTCTTTAATGATACTTGGAGTCAAATATATTTTATCCGCGATGCTTCATCGTTCGATTAAAAGATTGTTGTATCGCGGAATTTATTGGAATTAATTCTGCGAATTCGATCGTCTTACTGTGTGTGTGCGTTCTCTGTAATTTTTAATTTAGCATTAACAATCCCATATATTGGTAATCTAACAATTTGATGAATTTGAAGAGAATTTTCAATTAATAATACAAAATATATTAAATCAATTTTATTCACAATTTACTTATAATATTATATATTTACAAATATTATTCTGTTATCAACTATACTTATTTACTTTTTACTTTAAATGTTATATTTTCTAAGAGAACGTTAGCGTACGGCGAATTTTTCAAAGTATGCGAGTACCCGTAAGGCTGACTGTCTTCAACAGTACCTCGTCGGTTGTGCTACTCACGCTGGATGGCATGAAACGATACACGTGCTACGACGTATGTATGTATGTACATTACGGATCGGGGACGCATGCGCGCCGAACGTAAATCCGCGTACGCGACTGTCACTACCGCACGACTTCATTCATATTTTTTCCTTGTAACCGCTCCACCCGTTCCCATTCACGTGCTCGCTCGCTCGCTTGCTCGCTTGATCGAACCGGCTTATGGTAGTGGTATATACAGCGCAAAGATTGAATAATCTTTAACAGTTTTCGATTAACTATCATTGATAATTCTCTATTGGTTATCACATTTATGCGCGATTTCGCACAATTTTCTCCCCCCATCTTTTTACTGTCTTTTGGTTAAATGACAGTCGACGTCGATTAACAATAAGAGCGAGTTTACACTTTCGCTGTATCATCTCTATCTCTAATATATTTTTATCCTCTAAGTTTCTTTTCTCTCTCTTTCTCATTGTAATAATAAAAGTGCCTGATTTGTCTAATTAATCTTAGAAATCATAATGGCAGAAACTCTTGATGTGAGGTTGCTAGATATATTTTTTTGTTCCTTAATGGCGTCTTGGAAAACTTTCTCAAATATAATACACATGCCACACACACGCACACACATACGATTGTCCGTCAATTTATTTTGTTAGTTAGCTTCAAATAGCTGACAGTTTACATGCAGAGATCGCGTAAATATTCTGCATAATATTGCTGGGATGGAAGCATTATATATTATATAAAAGACGTTATTATTCAAATGTAAAAAATACATATTCACACAAAAATATGTTCAAAGAATTTACTTTAAAAATCCATTTCCAGTGATAAACGTCGGGTATCTACAAAATCGAAAAGACACTTGCATCTAACGTGCAATGCCGTGCGTATGTTACAAGAAACGCGATTCTTTAATTAAGTTTATTACAAAATAATTATTGCCAGAAATATCACGAGTTCCCTCTATTTTTTATTCTATTGAAATTATAGTAAAACAATGTTAAATTGTGTAATCTGTGTGAGATTTATTTACACAGCGTGCATTGCATGAAAATGTGTGGCAATAAAATACACGGGAAACTCATAAATTTTCTTTTGCCTTTTCATTAAAAGGCGCACGGATACAATTCCCTATTTATTGTTAATTACACTCAACGTCCCTCGTTACGAGAAGATCGTTCTCATGCTAGTGTATACATATCTACGTGGGAAATTCTGTGAAAGCCGCAGAAGAGAACGAAGCTGATATACCTGTAATAGGTAGCTTTGAGATCATAAATCTTTATAATTAACGGTAAATCTCACAATTATCTCGAAAAGATTTAAACGATCATGCGTCACGAGATGAAAATAGGCTTAAAAGAGACGAAAAATTAATCTATATTCTTAGACGTCCTTTAGATTATGATACGTCATCGGTTTTCGCGGATATTTTTATTACGATTGATTAAAAATTAACATTGCTTTTAATGCGCTCGATGTGTTGATTGCGAAAAGTAACGTGTGCCGCAGCAACAAAGGAAAAAGGTATGGGAAAATCCTGGCTAACGATATGTAAGATCCTCTCTCTTTCCCGCGTTTCTCATCGATATACGCGAGATACTCATTGTCAGACAAGGTACTCTCATTTTTCCTTTGTATAGGCAGAGAAGGGGGGAGGGCAAGAGATTATACGGTAGCCTAGATTGTAAGAGAGTCTCTTCGAGACACCCTCGTTCTTCTCTCGCACAATTCAAATGAGAAAATTCTTATTGTTAGATATAAAATATTGCCTTTTCCAAACTTGACTCAGTGCAACTTTGTTAAATTTTATCTCTAATCCTGAATCTACAATTTTATTTTATTATTAATGAGAGATTTCGTGTGATATTTTAACATATTATATTATATTAATAACAAGCAAAAGAAAAATGGGTGGGCAGAGAGAGAAAGTGTGACGGAGTAAGAAGCTCGAAGAGACGACGTGCGTGCGTGAAGAGAAAGAGAGAGAGAGAGAGAGAGTCGATATAATCTCAAGCTTTTGTATATCTTTTACACTGTAAGAATAAGAATAACTATATTTAATATATATGCTTGTGTTAACTAATACATTATTGCAATCTATAAAGATTCAAATTCAATTATACATACATACATCTATACAGATGGTTTATTATTATTCTCTCTATCATTATATATTGTATAATATATCAAAAATATATTAACACACAATGCAAACTTACCTTAGGTTAACAATGGATGAAGTATGCGGTATGCCATTGCAAAATGTTTTTGCCAATGTCAGGCTATTCTTATTTAGATCAATAATTTTGCCTTGATAAGTAATATCGTCAATACATTTCACAGAAACAGTACAACCCAGGAACTGCTCAGACATTTTTATCTGCAGTTGTATATGAAAAATATAGAGGTTAATCTATACAGTTTTCATATTTGTCACATATTTATTATCACAATTATATTATTGCTATTCAAATAAAAAAATTTAATAACTTGTGAATAATAATATATGAATTTTAGTTTAGAATGTAGCGTAAGAGAGAAATGCTACAATTCATATTAGAAAAATAATTTATTTTCTAATGATTTATAAATTGATTAATACAAATATAGTGTAAATATAACAACAAAAATCAAAATTATAGTAGCAATATATAGTGTTTCTTTTTCTTATACATATTATATGCTTGAAATTTATTGTTTATATTATTTAATACATTACATCTGGATCTGCATTCTATCCTTTATTCTATGTATATATCAAAGTATATATTTCAGAGAGAGAGAGAGAGAGAAAGAGCATAAATTTTCTTTCAATCACAAAACTTTTGGAGTTATACAAGTTACAAGTGTAACATGTAATGTAAATAAATTAATAAATATAAAAACATACATATATAAACACAAAAATTACCGGTTTTTAATATCAGAAGAAAAATTTCTCTCAGGTATGTTACAGGTTAAAATCGTGTAACAACTGTTGAGAGAAATAACTATAGCGACTATTTACATACCCAAATGAAAAAAGATAGAAGTAAAGATGATTAGACGATGAAACAATAAATCACAGCAACGAGTTTAACAACTTAATATTGCGTACTTATTTCTATAAGTCGGTATGTTATGTACGAATCACCATATATGATGTATATATCTTATACGTATAATGCGCGTGGTTGTGATACGTGTGTATCCCATTCAACGCTTTGTTTTCATGACAAAAGCATTGGATATTTTTCAATATAAATATATATAATTTTGTAAGCAAGTTAGTCAGTAATTTTAAGTATAATAATTAAAATCTTTCTCCGAGACTAAAATCAAATATACATATATAAAATATACCAACAATAGCAGGAAACCATCTGATGATAATTTTAATTTATCTATTTCTATTTTACCAACTAATGATAGGTTAAATTTCATTAGTAAATTCACGGACAAAGAGCTGTTAAAAATGTCAGCGACGAATATTCGCGCGCAGTTTGAAAAATCCGCTGTACGTTAAATGCTCTCTAAGGTATTATAACAATCATAAGAAGTAATAAGCATAGTTGATAAAAAAAGAAATGCGGTTATTCGAAAAAAAATTATTACTGAGTTAATAATTAAATAAAATTTCTTCGAAATCGAAAGAAAACGATTAAAAATATAAGAAAATATAATAAAATTATAATAGAATAGATCACCGCTTTTTTATTTTCTATGATAATACATGATTATTGAGTAATTAACTCTTATAAATAATATGTAATTTACATATATCGCGACGATCGTTCTCGAAGTGCATATTTTGCGTAATTTATTCAATTAATCAAAGTAAAAATCGTAGTGACAGAAATTTAAAATAATATCTTATCGTTACAAAATCTTTACGCAGACACAATAATTATTTCTTTAATGATACTTGGAGTCAAATATATTTTATCCGCGATGCTTCATCGTTCGATTAAAAGATTGTTGTATCGCGGAATTTATTGGAATTAATTCTGCGAATTCGATCGTCTTACTGTGTGTGTGCGTTCTCTGTAATTTTTAATTTAGCATTAACAATCCCATATATTGGTAATCTAACAATTTGATGAATTTGAAGAGAATTTTCAATTAATAATACAAAATATATTAAATCAATTTTATTCACAATTTACTTATAATATTATATATTTACAAATATTATTCTGTTATCAACTATACTTATTTACTTTTTACTTTAAATGTTATATTTTCTAAGAGAACGTTAGCGTACGGCGAATTTTTCAAAGTATGCGAGTACCCGTAAGGCTGACTGTCTTCAACAGTACCTCGTCGGTTGTGCTACTCACGCTGGATGGCATGAAACGATACACGTGCTACGACGTATGTATGTATGTACATTACGGATCGGGGACGCATGCGCGCCGAACGTAAATCCGCGTACGCGACTGTCACTACCGCACGACTTCATTCATATTTTTTCCTTGTAACCGCTCCACCCGTTCCCATTCACGTGCTCGCTCGCTCGCTTGCTCGCTTGATCGAACCGGCTTATGGTAGTGGTATATACAGCGCAAAGATTGAATAATCTTTAACAGTTTTCGATTAACTATCATTGATAATTCTCTATTGGTTATCACATTTATGCGCGATTTCGCACAATTTTCTCCCCCCATCTTTTTACTGTCTTTTGGTTAAATGACAGTCGACGTCGATTAACAATAAGAGCGAGTTTACACTTTCGCTGTATCATCTCTATCTCTAATATATTTTTATCCTCTAAGTTTCTTTTCTCTCTCTTTCTCATTGTAATAATAAAAGTGCCTGATTTGTCTAATTAATCTTAGAAATCATAATGGCAGAAACTCTTGATGTGAGGTTGCTAGATATATTTTTTTGTTCCTTAATGGCGTCTTGGAAAACTTTCTCAAATATAATACACATGCCACACACACGCACACACATACGATTGTCCGTCAATTTATTTTGTTAGTTAGCTTCAAATAGCTGACAGTTTACATGCAGAGATCGCGTAAATATTCTGCATAATATTGCTGGGATGGAAGCATTATATATTATATAAAAGACGTTATTATTCAAATGTAAAAAATACATATTCACACAAAAATATGTTCAAAGAATTTACTTTAAAAATCCATTTCCAGTGATAAACGTCGGGTATCTACAAAATCGAAAAGACACTTGCATCTAACGTGCAATGCCGTGCGTATGTTACAAGAAACGCGATTCTTTAATTAAGTTTATTACAAAATAATTATTGCCAGAAATATCACGAGTTCCCTCTATTTTTTATTCTATTGAAATTATAGTAAAACAATGTTAAATTGTGTAATCTGTGTGAGATTTATTTACACAGCGTGCATTGCATGAAAATGTGTGGCAATAAAATACACGGGAAACTCATAAATTTTCTTTTGCCTTTTCATTAAAAGGCGCACGGATACAATTCCCTATTTATTGTTAATTACACTCAACGTCCCTCGTTACGAGAAGATCGTTCTCATGCTAGTGTATACATATCTACGTGGGAAATTCTGTGAAAGCCGCAGAAGAGAACGAAGCTGATATACCTGTAATAGGTAGCTTTGAGATCATAAATCTTTATAATTAACGGTAAATCTCACAATTATCTCGAAAAGATTTAAACGATCATGCGTCACGAGATGAAAATAGGCTTAAAAGAGACGAAAAATTAATCTATATTCTTAGACGTCCTTTAGATTATGATACGTCATCGGTTTTCGCGGATATTTTTATTACGATTGATTAAAAATTAACATTGCTTTTAATGCGCTCGATGTGTTGATTGCGAAAAGTAACGTGTGCCGCAGCAACAAAGGAAAAAGGTATGGGAAAATCCTGGCTAACGATATGTAAGATCCTCTCTCTTTCCCGCGTTTCTCATCGATATACGCGAGATACTCATTGTCAGACAAGGTACTCTCATTTTTCCTTTGTATAGGCAGAGAAGGGGGGAGGGCAAGAGATTATACGGTAGCCTAGATTGTAAGAGAGTCTCTTCGAGACACCCTCGTTCTTCTCTCGCACAATTCAAATGAGAAAATTCTTATTGTTAGATATAAAATATTGCCTTTTCCAAACTTGACTCAGTGCAACTTTGTTAAATTTTATCTCTAATCCTGAATCTACAATTTTATTTTATTATTAATGAGAGATTTCGTGTGATATTTTAACATATTATATTATATTAATAACAAGCAAAAGAAAAATGGGTGGGCAGAGAGAGAAAGTGTGACGGAGTAAGAAGCTCGAAGAGACGACGTGCGTGCGTGAAGAGAAAGAGAGAGAGAGAGAGAGAGAGAGAGAGGAGAGCGAAGACGATGTAATCCGCGTGAGGAACAAAGATAGACGAAGAGGGAGAGGAAGCGGGCCATTGCGCCATCAGGAAGTGGCTCACCACTTATACACGCGTACAGTTAACCAACCAAACTGGCCTCTGCGCGCGCGCGTCACACGCTCGTATCATCCGTGTGCAGCAGCCACAGCATATATGGACTTGACACTAAAGATAAGGAAAGAATATAAGCACTGGTCGCGAAAGAGAGAGAAAGGGAGTGGTGGAATGGTACGCGAGTAGTGGTGGTGGTTTAACTCACCGTATATGTGTGTATGCGTTACACACTATGAACAAAGAGAGAGAGGGAGAGCGTTACGCGCGCGCCCCTTTATATATTAGACACCCGATATATGTCAACCCCGTAGCGACCGGTTGTCATACCACAGACACATGGATGTTACCAGTGAATCATCGCACGAGGAAACAAATGGACACGTTAGATTGTTCATGGAAAATCCATATTTCTCGATCATATATGTATATATATATATGTATGATTTTATTGAATGACGCAACATGGAAAAATAGCGAATTAAAACTGCTATAATGGTTTATTACCAATTATTATATCTTTTCTGTATACAGGGACAGCACATACTGCGAGTTTTGTTGTCAAATTACTGAAGAGACTTGAATAATTAATAGTTTTAATTTATATACACAATAAATATGTTAATTTAAGCGAAGCAAAAAAGGTATGCAATTTTAATACATATAAAAAATAATAGGAGGGAGAGAAAAGGAGAGAGAATAAGAGAAAAGAGAAAAAAGTTATTATTTATTTAAAATTATTATTTAAAAAAATTATTATTATTTAATCATACAAAAATACATTTTGTATAATTTTGCGTAGAAAGATAAATACTTAATTTGTTGAATCAAGAATACATAATAGTTTTCTCATATGTATTCATATTTTCCTTCCTCCTTACGTTCTATTAATTAAAATTAGCGATATTGTCAGTCATGAATTATTAATTGCTTATTTAATTTTAACATTGTCCACGCTCGTTATGTAACATGTAATATAGTCGATCCACATCAGATAATAGAATCAAAAATCGCAATAACAGACGAATAATTACATTATAACAAAACGTACTAGATATGTTTAGGAAACGGTTAAAAATAACATGCATTATCTGGAATATATATATATATATATATATATAAATTTGAATGGCGCAACGAGACGAGGCGTTCGATGCGCGTTGACTTTTCGTTTATAAACGTTGACAAATTTTCGCTAAACTCACAGATAGAATCTACTGCGCGTGGAAAGCGCTCGCGATATTTTACGGAATACACGCAGCGCGATCAAACTTGCTGGCGGATGTTTAATGCATTAAATTATCTTGTAATATGTGTGTACTGATGTTAAAAGCGGCATAAAACCGTGTAATCTTTGATTCATTTATCTTCAGTTATGCACACGCGTATGTGTGCGCGACCGCGTGCGCGCGAGGAATTATTGGACATTATTATTCTCTCTTTCGAGCTATATGATTAAATGTATTATATATGTATAAAAAACGGATAAAAAAAACATACATTATCTGAAATATATATATATATATATATATATATATACTTTAATCAAAATATCGATCTATTGTCTTCTTTTATCGAACGCGATTGATGAATAAATTCATTGATTAATTCTTTATCGTCGACGTAAACGAGAATAATTTGCCATTATATTACTATTATTATCAGAATCGCTTAATAAAGCAGAGAAGCAGTTTTTCATTCTAACAATTTTCGCACACGTGTCACGCGTACATTGCTTTTATATAATATATAATATAATCTTATAATTAGAGATTATCGATTTTTTCATTTTATAAAAAATATATATTTATCGGACAAATCTGTACAAGATATAATATATTTCTACGATTTTT